TATAAAAGCTAGAGAGCTGTGCTTCCACTCCGCACTAGATCATTCCTTGAGAACCCTGTATACTAAATTTCAAGGCTCTGCGACAAAGTTGATTTTTGGGTCTGAAAAAGACAGAAGGTTAACCCCTTGGAACTTTTTTGATATATTTCGTGATGCCAGAATGGGCTGAAAACTGGTATACAGGGTGTGTTCTCGTCGTGCTGAACAAGAATCTGAAGTCAATTCAGTTCTATCTCTCTTAGTTTTCCAGATATTCACATTGAAAAAACTTCAGAGAAAATTGGTGTAAAAAAGTATTCCTTTTTTTCTATAAAAGCTAGAGAGCTGTGCTTCCACTCCGCACTAGATCATTCCTTGAGGACCCTGTATACTAAATTTGGAGGCCCTGCGACAAAGTTGATTTTTGGGTCTGAAAAAGACAGAAGGTTAACCCCTTGGAACTTTTTTGATATATTTCGTGATGCCAGAATGGGCTGAAAACTAGTATACAGGGTGTTCTCGTCATGCTGAACATGAATCTGAAGTTAGTCCACTTCTATCTCTCTCAGTTTTTCCAGGTATTCACATTGAAAAAACTTCAGAGAAAATTGGTGTAAAAAAGTATTCCTTTTTTTCTATAAAAGCTAGAGAGCTGTGCTTCCACTCCGCACTAGATCATTCCTTGAGAACCCTGTATACTAAATTTCAAGGCTCTGCGACAAAGTTGATTTTTGGGTCTGAAAAAGACAGAAGGTTAACCCCTTGGAACTTTTTTGATATATTTCATGATGCCAGAATGGGCTGAAAACTGGTATACAGGGTGTGTTCTCGTCGTGCTGAACAAGAATCTGAAGTCAATTCAGTTCTATCTCTCTTAGTTTTCCAGATATTCACATTGAAAAAACTTCAGAGAAAATTGGTGTAAAAAAGTGTTACTTTTTTTCTATAAAAGCTAGAGAGCTGTGCTTCCACTCCGCACTAGATCATTCCTTGAGGACCCTGTATACCAAATTTCAAGGCTCTGCGACAAAGTCGATTTTAAGGTCTGAAAAAGACAGAAGGTTAACCCCTTTGAACTTTTTTGATATATTTCGTGATGCCAGAATGGGCTGAAAACTGGTATACAGGGTGTTCTCGTCGTGCTGAACAAGAATCTGAAGTCAATTCAGTTCTATCTCTCTTGGTTTTCCAGATATTCACATAGAAACAACTTCAGAGAGAATTGGTGTGAAAAAGTATCACTTTTTTTCAATGAAAGCTAGAGAGCTGTGCTTCCACTCCGCACTAGATCATTCCTTGAGGACCCTGTATACTAAATTTGAAGGCCCTCCGACAAAGTTGATTTTTGGGTCTGAAAAAGACAGAAGGTTAACCCCTTTGAACTTTTTTGATATATTTCGTGATGCCAGAATGGGCTGAAAACTGGTATACAGGGTGTTCTCGTCGTGCTGAACAAGAATCTGAAGTCAATTCAGTTCTATCTCTCTTAGTTTTCCAGATATTCACATTGAAAAAACTTCAGAGAAAATTGGTGTAAAAAAGTGTTACTTTTTTTCTATAAAAGCTAGAGAGCTGTGCTTCCACTCCGCACTAGATCATTCCTTGAGGACCCTGTATACCAAATTTCAAGGCTCTGCGACAAAGTTGATTTTTGGGTCTGAAAAAGACAGAAGGTTAACCCCTTTGAACTTTTTTGATATATTTCGTGATGCCAGAATGGGCTGAAAACTGGTATACAGGGTGTTCTCGTCGTGCTGAACAAGAATCTGAAGTCAATTCAGTTATATCTCTCTTAGTTTTCCAGATATTCACATTGAAAAAACTTCAGAGAAAATTGGTGTAAAAAAGTATTCCTTTTTTTCTATAAAAGCTAGAAGAGCTGTGCTTCCACTCCGCACTAGATCATTCCTTGAGGACCCTGTATACTAAATTTCAAGGCTCTGCGACAAAGTCGATTTTTGGGTCTGAAAAAGACAGAAGGTTAACCCCTTTGAACTTTCTTGATATATTTCGTGATGCCAGAATGGGCTGGAAACTGGTATACGGGGTGTTCTCGTCGTGCTGAAGAAGAATCTGAAGTCAATTCAGTTATATCTCTCTTAGTTTTCCAGATATTCACATTGAAAAAACTCCAGAGAAAATTGGTGTAAAAAAGTATTATTTTTTTTCTATAAAAGCTAGAGAGCTGTGCTTCCACTCCGCACTAGATCATTCCTTGAGGACCCTGTATACCAAATTTCAAGGCTCTGCGACAAAGTCGATTTTAAGGTCTGAAAAAGACAGAAGGTTAACCCCTTTGAACTTTTTTGATATATTTCGTGATGCCAGAATGGGCTGGAAACTGGTATACAGGGTGTTCTCGTCGTGCTGAACAAGAATCTGAAGTCAATTCAGTTATATCTCTCTTAGTTTTCCAGATATTCACATTGAAAAAACTTCAGAGAAAATTGGTGTAAAAAAGTATTACTTTTTTTCTATAAAAGCTAGAGAGCTGTGCTTCCACTCCGCACTAGATCATTCCTTGAGGACCCTGTATACTAAATTTCAAGGCTCTGCGACAAAGTTGATTTTTGGGTCTGAAAAAGACAGAAGGTTAACCCCTTTGAACTTTTTTGATATATTTCGTGATGCCAGAATGGGCTGGAAACTGGTATACGGGGTGTTCTCGTCGTGCTGAAGAAGAATCTGAAGTCAATTCAGTTATATCTCTCTTAGTTTTCCAGATATTCACATTGAAAAAACTCCAGAGAAAATTGGTGTAAAAAAGTATTCCTTTTTTTCTATAAAAGCTAGAGAGCTGTGCTTCCACTCCGCACTAGATCATTCCTTGAGGACCCTGTATACTAAATATCAAGGCTCTGCGACAAAGTTGATTTTTGATTCTGAAAAAGACAGAAGGTTAACCCCTTTGAACTTTTTTGATATATTTCGTGATGCCAGAATGGGCTGGAAACTGGTATACAGGGTGTTCTCGTCGTGCTCAACAAGAATCTAAAGTCAATTCAGTTCTATCTCTCTTAGTTTTCCAGATATTCACATTGAAAAAACTTCAGAGAAAATTGGTGTAAAAACGTATTAGTTTTTTTCTATAAAAGCTAGAGAGCTGTGCTTCAACTCCGCACTAGATCATTCCTCGATGACCCTGTATACTAAATTTGAAGGACCTGCGACAAAGTTGATTTTTTGGTCTGAAAAAGACAGAAGGTTTACCTCTTTGAACTTTTTTGATATATTTCGTGATGCCAGAATGAACTGAAAACTGGTATACAGGGTGTTCTCGTCGTGCTGAACAAGAATCTGAAGTCAGTCCACTTCTAGCTCTCTTAGTTTCCCAGATATTCGAATTGAAAAAACTTCAGAGAGAATTGGAGTCGAAAATCAGGGGTATACAAACTCAACTGTGGATCTTGTCCTATGGTATATATCGGTCAGACAGGTCGAACGTTCAATCTGCGCATTCATGAACATTAGATGAATTTTATAAAAAAGAAAAAAAATCAATATTCGCCAACCATATATTAGACGAAAACCATAATTTTCATGATATTTTCGAAATTCTACACCTAGAAAATAAAGGAATGAAACTCAATCATTTTGAATCATTAGAAATCAACAAACTCAAAAATTCTGACATTTTAATTACCGATCAATTAGACCTCAATAGTACACCACTGTTGAATTTGTTTTCTTAGTAAGTAATAATATGTATTTGCTATCAACTCTTTCAAGTTAATCCGGTACACCGTATTTTAATGTAGATATTGTGCCTAATTTCCGAAAATAGAGGTTTATTGTACCTGTCCACAGGTAACTAATCCTTCAGGTTGGGAAAGTAGATATAAAAGTTAAGCAAGCCAACGTTAGTTTAGTTCATTGTACCAGTATATCACCTGACGAAGCTACTGTGTTAGCGAAACATGTCGTGTGTTTTGAGAATTTTGTGGAAATCTCATCGTTTGTGAAGTTTTTACATTTATATTTTTAATTCTGTAATTTTTGGTATAGAGGTGTATTAAAAAATCAAAATGTATTCAGTGGTTCAATGAGACAACTATTCTTATAGTGTTTTCCTTTATTATCTATTACTAATAGGGTTAGTCAGAAAAAGACCGACAAACATAGTATACGGATTACTAACTTAATTTTGAGTGCCTGAGATACAGGGTGTCGATATAGTACGAAAAAAAAATAAGATTTATATTAATTCTTTCAGAACCCCTGCAGGAAGGAAATTGAAACTCGGTATACTATTCCAGATTAATCAATGTTATCACATGAAGTTTCCATTTTTGGATATCGTCAAGCAATGGGTGGAGTTACGATCGTAAATCGTCACATTTGATCGTCACATCGTCATGCTGATATTTCTCGATATATCAAAATATTTCTCAAGCTCCTGTATATTTGTTAATGTTGAGAACTTTGAGAACATTTCGTACAGGTGAGTCAGAAGTAAATCGACAAACTGACTTCTTATTCCACACGTCATTTCAAGGTGAACAGTTTATATTGAGTTATGACACAGATTGTTATGATTCAAAGTGCAACCTGTTTGAGATACTAGCAATATTACCTCAAGACATATCTTTAGTTTTTCACAAATATCTCAGCAACCTATACATTTATGCATGTTATCTTTTCTACATTGAGTATCAATAATAAGCCTAACTGATGTCACATACCAATCTGTCATTTCATCTGTCCACGAAAAAATAAACAAAGTAAAGTAATTACCTTGATTATGCTGAAATAGTTTACCTAGTATGGTTTTTTCCTACAGGAGTTCCCAAGAAATTGATATAAACTTCAATCTTTTATTTTTTTCATAATTCCATTGACAAGCTATGGAACCTATAGGAACATGCCACCACAAAATGAATTTATGAACCTGTATATGAAGTTTTTTGATCTTATTCTGACCAACCCTGTATATATATGTACATATATAACAATACTATTTATTTGTAAATCTGCATGAATTGTCCAACATAGAAAAAGTATGTTTCCCAAGTTGGTGTATGTCATTGTTTACAATCATACACCCATACTGTATCGATACCATGACCTATGGTTTTTTTAGGCACCAAGTTTGGTAAAGGAAAGCGGCATGCTATGATGTTGCAATCGCCTTTGCATTCTTTCAATAACTTTTTTTCCAAATCGTTCATCTGAAATGGAAAGTTATTCGTTTAACAAGAGTTTCTTTCCATCAGTTACCTAGATTTATGTCCTTGTTTCTATAAATAAAAATACAAGTATTATTCCAATATATTTGGCATAAGAGGAGGATACACCATGCATCAGTGCAATGAAAACATGATTTCTCCGCCCCCACTTTTCATTGTTCAATATTGATTTTTTCGGAAAACAAAAAATATGGTGAGATGAAGAATTGAAATATCTAGGTTTCTCTGGAAGCAGAATTTTGAAAAAATTCACCGATATTCTGCAAAAAAATCATCTAATCTAATACCATCTAATACCATCCAGTGACTCTACAGTAAAGACCTCACGTTTGGACGTTGATTGATATAAACTACTTACCAGATGAAGTGGGACAGCCAAAAAATTGACTAATTTGGCCGATGTTGGATTTCCAACCAAAGGTAGAAAGCGCCATCCTTGCGTCATTGGCGTCTGGTTTTCATTTTTGCGATTCGTTCTCTTTGTACAGAGTGTGAATTAAGAGCCGGAAACATTTCAAATTTTTGACCAATAATTTGGGAAATGTAAGGGACCCTGGAATTCTTTTCTAGATGGTGGGATAATGGTTGGTCCGATAGCTCGAGTAGTCTTTGAAATTTTTTTGATAAATAGCGTTGCTATGGAAAAATCGCCATTTCATGAAATTCCATTTTTATTCTGAAATGTGGCCTCTTTTAGTTGAACAATAACAGCCAACATCTAAACTGCAACAAGGGATATTCTACGAAAAATAATTAACACCCCAGTGGCGCGCAAAAAGGGGTTTATGATATTTAGAAACGAAAAATTCGTTTGTATTGGAAAAATTCAACAGTTTTATTGATCGTTACAGTTGGAAGGTGTCATACCTTTAATTAGCATGATGTTGACCAAATTCAGAGGCGTGAAGTAAAGGGGCTTATGATATTCAGAAACGAAAAAAATGTTCTTTTTGAAAAAAAAACAGATTTATTGATCGTTACAGTAAAAAAGTTCTTATACATTCAATTAGCATGGTGTTGACGAATTCAGAGACAGATTAAAATTCCAGTTTCATAATTTCATGAGAGAATCCATCAATACAAGGCGATTCAAAAATTTTACATCATAATATGGAAACATTTTAGATAATTTTGATAAGTGTTTTTCTCTGTTCGTCCAGTGAAAAATTACTTGATCGTGTCGTGATCGGGTCCGTCAGAGATACGTTCCTAAATTTTCATTCATAAATAATGATACAAGAAAATTTTCACTGGGCGAAAAAAGAACAAAACTTGATGAAATCATTAAAAATGTTTCCATATCAAAATTTTTGAATCGCCTTGAATGATGGATCCTCTTTAATACGTCAATGGATTACTTGGATGCTAACCTTGAATAAGTAAAAAATAATGATAATGAGACTGGAATATCAATTCGTCAACATTACAGAATCACCTTTTGCATGCCTCTGAATTCGTCAACATCATGCTAAATAAATGTATGGCAACTTTTTCACTGTAACGGTCAATAAATCTGTTGTTTTTATTTCAATAAAAACATTTTTTTCGTTTCTAAATATCATAAGTCCCTTTTCTGCACGCCTCTGAATTTGTCAACATCATGCTAATCAAGGGTATGACACCTTTCAACTGTTACGATCAATAAAACTGTTGAATTTGTCCAATACAAACGAATTTTTCGTTTCTAAATATCATAAACCCCTTTTTGCGCGCCACTGGTGTTAATTATCTTCAGTAGAAATATCCCTTGTTGCAGTTTAGATGTGAGCTGTTATTGTTCAACAAAAAGAGGCCACATTTTGAAATAAAAATGAAATTTTATAAAATGGCGATTTTTCCATAGCAACGCAGTTCATCAAAAAAATTTCAAAGACGTCTCGAGGTATCGGACCAACCATTCACCCAACATTTAAAAAAGAATTTTAGGGTCCCTCACATTTCCCAAATTATTAGTCAAAAATTTGAAATTTTTCTGGCTCTTAATTCACACTCTGTACAAAGAGAACGAATCGCAAAAATAAAAACCCGACACCGATGACGAATAGCCCCAGGAAGACGCTTTCTATATTTGATTGGAAATCCAACATCGGCCAAGAAATGTTCGAATTATAGCTTATCAAAATTAGTCAATTTTTCGGCTGTCCCACTTCATCTGGTAAGTAGTTTATTACGCTTACGCTGGTAATTACGGAATTATTACGGAGCGGCGGTAATCCGCTATGCACATCTAGTCATTATAACGCCGTGTATTTCACCGACTCCGATATTAATATTTGGTCAACGAATCAGCTGGCACAGCCGATTAGCCACCGGTCTGTTAGATCGGATGTTAGATCCCATGGACTCTTTGTTTATACGTCCATGTTAGATCCCATCATAGCATAGACAACTTTTTCACAGGCGTTGACTATCTAGTGTATGTGTCTGCTATAAATAATTTGAAATAATACCTACTTTTACTCATATTTTCAATTGAAAAATCATGTAAGTCTAGAGAAATGCATATTCCATCCTTGTCGATTAAACTACAGACAGAATTTGGAAGTTTCAATGCCGGGAATAAAAATACCCGGAAGAAAACCAAATAAACTAATTACTTGCATTTGAATTGTATTTTTTAAATGTAGCTTCAACTGCAAAAAATGCCATCTATAGTCTTCTATGTAACCCGAGGGGGAAAATTGATACTAAATATATTGGGCAAACATGTAGAAGCATTGTCACAAGATTCAAAGAATATATTGTTCACTTCAGATATAATCGTTTGGATCAATAAAGTATCGTCCAAAATATTCTCAACCCTATTTCTTTAGATGATTAAATAAAATCACTTACAAATATGTTACAAACAATAGATAATCATACAGTTATTAATAGTATAAAGTGTGTTGATTTGAATGTTTATCAGAAACCTCAATGATTTCCAACATTTGTGTTGACAATGTTGCCGCTTCTCAGAATTTGTATGAAATATTCATAATAAATTATGTGTTAGGAAAATTAACGTTGTCATAAATTTGTGGCCAATCAAAATTGTCCAATAATGATTCTGGGATTTACCTATTTGAAAGATTCTGAATCCACTGATGGAATCTGATTTTCTTGGAAAAAACTAATAATGATAGTTTGCAATTTTCAACATAAAAATCTTAGTATAACCTGAAAATTGGAATTATATTTTGCAAATTTGTGTAAACTTAGACCTTGTGAGACTCTGTCTGTTGCACAAAAAAAAATCAGTTGAAAACTACATTTTATAAGGCTTTTCCTGTCATCACACTGTATATCAGGAATCCACATGGTGATGCATCATATACATTGTGATGCATACTTGAGTAAAAGTTTAAAAGGTGATGTTTTCCAGAAGAAATATCTCTGGAGAGTTGAAGTATTGAATACTTGGTTAAATACTTGTTTAAAATACTCTGTTGAATATAAAGCTGGTAATCTACTCACCATTTGTTCTACACCAAAAATCACAATATTGTCATATATTGAAACATCATATTTCCATAAATCTGCTCTAATAAATTTTGTACTCCTATGCACACCTTTCCTGAGGGCATTGAATTTTGAGTACAAAACTAACCAAGGATTTAGTTCAACACCATCTGATAAAAATTTATGTTTTACTGTTTCTAAAAAGTACAAAATGCATTATATATTAGCAGGCAAGTCATCATTGGAATATTCTTCTACAATCTACAGCTTGGAATACAAAAAAATATACAGGTTCAGCTTGTTTACAAAAACTTCAAAATTTAATAATTTGATAAAGAAACTTATGATGATTATCTTTGATTCTGGGGCATTAAAATCATGAGTCACTGCAAGAAATGATTTTTAACAAAAATAAAAATGACATAGGTATCTTGATAATGGTGAATTCATACACAACTCAACTCAGTCCTAAATTGAATGAGGGGTGATAATTGGGTGATATCAGATATAAACTGAATGTCCCTCATATTTTGAGGCAGGCTCAATAAAATATTGATACTTATATTGTTCTGTAAAAGGTAATATCATCAAATATATCAAGTTTTTATTTTTGTATTAAATATTATCAATGAATAATTTTAGTGTGCACTAATAGTAGGTAGATACACTATATAAATCATACTAGTGATCAAAATTGGTGGAATAAGACAAGTTATGATCACAGATGAATAAGGCATTACCTACACATACCTAATACAATTCTACCATCTCCAGACCCCAAATCCAGCAATGTACCAGACCTACCATTCAAGGCAGACAAAATATTAGATATTTGCTGTTTTGTAGCAGGTACATATGGCAAGGTGAATTTCCTTAGGGCAGGACTAACGAATGATGCACAGATTACTGTCAGACCAAATGCTACACCTCCTTGAATAATATTGAATAATAATAATAAATACATGATATAGGTATTACTGTCTGAGGTGAGAGCAGGATAATATTGGATTGAGTTTGCCAAATTTGAAACTGAAATTGTATGCGAACATTTGTTTGGCAATATCAAATATTTTACCTGTGATTCCTAGAAGGATTTTTCCAGTGTATGAAACATTTTTAATAGGATCATTAGCTTGTGAATTTGTGTTTCCATCCAACAATTCAGTGATAGTGGTTGTATCCATTCAAATATTTAATTGTATTAATTCTTATTATTTTATATAATAACTAGATCTTTTCACCACCACATTATATTATATTATTAATTATCAATTATTGTAATTGAAAAATTGAATTTAAAAAAAATATATTATTATATAAATTCGAATTCGACCGATTCGACGACAGATCGACAGACATTGACGAGTGACATTTGACAATCAGGTTTACGTTCTCAGGCATAATACTCATTAATCATCATAGATCATAGACCTTATTATATTAATGATGCTCGATGCAAATAACCAGACTTTTTCCACCTATGAAAAAGTGGTTCTGACGGCTAATTGGAGACATGAAACTAAATTAATTTCCAATTATCTTCGATTTGGATTAATATGATGAAAATATTAGCATTTCTTATTTGTAGGTGGTAAGTATTTCTATTACTCGAGCTATGATGGTGTAAAGGCAAAAAAAAGAAGAGTGACCTTGAACCAAACATTTGAAATTTGAATAACCTAAAAAATGTGCTGAAAAGTCAAATAATGGAGAACATGAGAACATAATATAAAGGTAAAATTTGCGAAATCCGAATGATTGTCTCCTATATAGTCAAGGGCCCCAGTGCACTCATTTCATAAAGAATCCAACAGCTCACTTTCGTGAAGAATCATTCCGAATCAAGGCTAATAATAAAACAGATCCTCTTATATGGTCCTGGCATATAATATGTAATAGGTCCTGATTTCTGAAATACTGAAGACAGAAAATTTCTGTGAAAGTGAAAACGTTTTACAGTCCATCAAAATGGATAGGTTTCAAAGAGAAGACATTGATTGGAAATATATTCAACAGCATACAGATAAGCAAAATTATGAAATACCCTGCTTTTATGATACCCAATCCTGGAACATTGGGGAGACCTACAGTATGCGTATTGGAAATATATATGACCCATCCAAATTTTGGACAGTATTTTGTGACAGAGAGTTGACCATATTTCAAGAATTCTTGAATAACTTTTACAAGATTAATAGTGATATCTACAAAATGCCCAAACAATCAGTGAAAAGACTTCAATATTGTGTGGCATTCACAGATGGAGAATATTATAGAGGACTGATAGTAGACATACCTTTATTTGGTAGCCTTGATAATAAACTTTCAGTGTTTCTGCTGGATTTTGGATTCTCAGCTGTTGTTTACAGTAATGACATACATTACCTTTCAAAAAATTTGTTTGAAGTTCCTCAATTTTCTGTGAGGTCTTGTATATATGGAATGGAACCCTATAATACTGACACATGGACAGTTGATGAAGTGAAAAGATTCAGTGAACTAACAACCAAGAAAAGATTACTGTGTGTATTAGAGAATACAGATCCCTCCCGCAAAATAGTGTATATTACCATTCATGACTTTGATGAAATCTCCAGAGATAAACCTATAAGGGATGTACTGATCAGTGAGAGACTAGCCAAAATGACAACTCTGGAAAATAAAAAAAATAAAAAAGTAGGCAAAAGTAAATTTGCTCCTAAAATAAAGTACCCATTTTTGTTTCCAACATTTGAAGCAATAGAAGGAGCAGAAACTCCATCTACAGTATATACCAGTGAATTGCTAAAGAGTTGTCTTACTGCTGGTATAATATTATTCAAGAGTTATTATTCCTATAATGGTATCAATCTTTCCTGAATGTTTTGTGCAGGAGTAGATCTCATACTGGCCTTGTTTATACTGTCTTAGTAAGCTGAATAATGACTGTATTTCAACTGGTTAATGTGGTATAAACTGTGTAAATAAATATGTATTAACTAAGGCATTTGGTCAAATCACCTCAGTAGGCATACCAAATTTCCATATGATATAAACATTGCCACTTTAGTCATTTAAAATTCTATTGCACCAGTCATTCATTTTTTGAGAAAATGAATTTTATTTTTGTGATAACTTGATATTCTTCATTTATTGTTCATTCATAGGATGAATGTCATGAGCTCATTTTAAGTTTAAAACTGAACTAGTTTTTAATTTTTACTTCTTATACAGTTACCTACCATTGTATTGTTAGTTTATTTTGAATACAAATACAATAATTTTATACAATTATTACTATTATTAATGTACCTATCCACCACTTTTACCTTTTACTAGGAGTGATAGAACTAGAACTAACACTTCAACCCTTCATTACTTTAGTGATAACATATGCCTATCTGCACTAGGTGGCTAGCTTCTAGAGCAGGCATGGGGAAACAACTACGGCCCGCGGGTCATCTAGGGCCCGCAAATAAGCTTTAAAATCTGGCCCATTGAACAAAAAATCAAAAGAGAGAGAAGAATAAACTTACCTATTTTACCAATTTGAGCAGTATTTCACCTGTCTCAGACGACAAATTGCATAGGTTTGCACAAGAACTGAATTGAGACTTCACTTAATATTTTTTCAATGCCTTTTAATATCAACATCGATAAAATACCCGCCAATTTCCAACTTGAACTAATTGAGATGCAATTCAATACCTATTATAACACCAGCAAATTAAGGATACAATTCCCAAATATAGTTGCTAACGCCCAAAAATAATGGCTCTTTAGTGCAAGCTATTTGTGGGAACAAACGTTTTCAACGGTTTTCAATAATGCAATAAAAATTGTTTATACCTTTCACTGATGAACATTTCAGCATCACAAATGGAGCTGGCTTATGATGAAATCATGCAGAAACAATAATTATTTATGTACTAGCGGGCCGTTAAGTGCACTTTACCGCCCGGTTTTGCGGGCGTTAAGTTGCACTTTACCGCCAACGGGCTCATTATGACCCACGGAGCGTAAATTGCACTTTACCGCCCGCTGTTCTCTTTTCCTCATATCCACATCAATTCATAAAAAAACCATGATCATTTTTCTAGATTCTAATATATCCAGCGGTATATCATAAACTTCTTTATCCGATTTCAACAACAACCATCAGCTTGCTTGACGTCAAAATTAGGTAGGTATATATACTGGGTATGCATATTGTAAAATTCTGAAGAATGAATCTCTTCTAGAGATCAAAGAGTTTCACTATTACGATAAATGCAATATTCCTATGATAATTTTTTTATGTAAATCATCCATGAACATTTGAGTCAGAATATAAACCACTAGGGCATAAAATTTCACGTGCGTGAAATGCGTTTATGGCCTTCAGCGTGTAATGGCCCTCGGCTAGCGCCATCGGGCCATTATTCACGCCACAGCCAATAAACGCCTACTTTACGCCCTTGATACATAAATAACTATAAATGCAAAAAGCTCAAAGTCATTTCCAGCTTTTTGCATTTATTTAACATTTCATTCCACTTTGAGCATTGTGGCTATTTCGTAGTTATAAATAACTATCTTGTATCAAGGGCGTGAAGTAGGCGTATATGGCCTGTGGCGTGAATGATGGCCCGATGGCGAATGTAACATAGAATCTTACGTTTTCACCATTTTTCACTAAATAGTTCAAAATTGTAGGTACGTGATTAAAAAAAAATCGGATTCCAGTTTTTTCTTTTCTTTGCATTTCTGAGAATATTTACTATGGTGATGTATATATTTTTTCACATTATCAGAAAAAAGAGATTTCAACGAACAAAAAACGCCCAAGTTTTTTTAAAAAGCTGATATTTTGACGTGAGAATTTTCGATTGAAAATTAGGGTGTCTTTTCGATATTGAGTCAAAATAAGGTGAAAAAAATAAATATTTCGAATCAAAAAAATTACAGTGTCTTTAGGACATAAAAAGGTGAGTTTTCACCGAATTTTGTCGGAATTTTTTTTTGCATAAGATAAAAATAAAAAACCAAAAACTTGATTATTTGAATTATTTCACATAAATTTTGAGGTTATGTGAAAGAAGTGTGATTACAAAAGTTGTAAGTCTCTTTATTACCTACAACTACACGGTTCTTACCCTTAAAACTCACCCCCTTCCAGTTCCCGACCTCAGATCGCCCGTAAATTGGTTTTCCTCCGATTGGCAGCAAATATTAATTTTGCTGACACATATCAATCAGCAAAGTATCACTTTTCCTGCCTAGGCAGCAAAGTGGTTACTTTGCTGATTGATATGTATCAGCAAAATTAAAAATCCATAAATCGTTTATAATTTCCTTCATATTTCATCCGAGACTTCTCCGGCAACAAATTCAACTCTATATTTTTTGCCACCTCCCTTATTAATGGAGGTGTAAGTATACTTCCAGGTCGCTATCACTGTCCATTATATAATATTTTAAATATACCGATATTGTTTCGCACAACTGTCAGAAATTTCATGAATTGTCAAACCAACAACTGCGATTTCTATCAAATTTCATTTTAATTGAACACTATACAGGAAGAATAAAGAGATTGTGGGAATTGTATTAATCCGCAAACACAATATTCTCCCATATCATTATGAACAATCGGAGAAAAAATCATATGTTCAACTCGGCAGCACAGTAGATTGACTGCCTTTGCTGGATTCCTAGCCTCGCTACGCTCGGCTATGAATTCAGCCACGGCAGTCAATCTACTACTTTGCTGCCTAGTTAAACGAATAACTATTTCCTTTCATTTTTGTTAAATTCTCGTCCTTTCTCAACGGGTTTCATCATACTATTATTATTTTTTTGTTCAAAAAATTATCGACCCTGGTCTAAGACGTTCAATAATAGTTGAAAATGTGGTAACGTGAAGACGCACATAATTTTTTCAATTGTTTCTTGTGATTTATTATGTCATTGTGTTTCATACAACAACTCATTTTATTTATCGCCTCAATTTCGGTTGTATTGAAATATTAGGGAAACAGCTGAGAAATTGAATGGGATTTCAACATATCGTATACAGGGTGTTTCATTCAAACTATCAAAGTTAGCAAAATTTTAGTAGGAACGTGTTATAACTAATTATTTTTTTCCAGGAATCATGATTGTATAGTGAAAGAGGGTATTTGGACTCATAATGATACACTTTTTAAAGCGAGTTTTATAATAATTTGTGAATTTGAGGCTTATTTGCCTGTAATATCACACTCGATAATTGAATACACATCAGAAATAACTAAATCCGAATAATTCAAAGCATAAATTGAGAACACTGCTCATGGATTCGCTGGCAACGCTTTATTGGGTTCTTCTTACAAAAATCCACAGCCACTAAAATCAGTATCAACTCCGATCCAACTGTAAACTATTATTCATACTAACTATATATTTTGCTAGGGTCAACACCTTTCCTGTGGTGTTTCAAATATATCAGATAACTTTCAAGTGTGAAGTGCGACATCACTGACCAACATCAGCATGTTTGGGTGCTGAACCCCCCTAATGTGAGAACAGTATTCCAAAACAGGCCGCATCTGTATTTTGTAAACATAAGCTGTTAGGGAGTAAAGCAGCTTTCCACGCGAAATAAATAGCCAAGTTTTTGTGAAGCAGCTTTCGCGATTAACCTAACATTATTTAACCATGAAAAATACTGTTGGTGATGATGCCTAAAAGGTCTGTACAAAATCTTAGCACACAGCAGTCCTGAGGTCAAAATAAGCCGATTTAAAGCAACTTACCCGAGTCTGAAATTGCCCCGATTCCGATATACAAGGTGGTATATTTAAAAAATAAAAATCGGAAAGTAGACTCCAAAGAAGTATTTTGAAAAATCAATTTTTGCACTGCTCATTCACGGTATAAAAGTGAGTAAGATATGTAACAGATCCGAAACGCGCATGCTCCTTGTATAACGTCATTAGTGGTCGAGCATCTAGATAGAAGGTTATGTAACGGATGGTAAAACGAAATCAGCTCCTCATGAAGCGTTGCCAATAACGAATATATAAGCAGTTTATATCTAAAGTGTAAAACTATTTCGAAGCTATGATTAAAGAGGAAAAAGGTAGATTCTTTTACTTTGATGAATGGAAACTATACGAACGAAGAAGCGAATAAAACATAACCATAATAACGATGAAACAAAATCTTTGTTGAATCGTTCAAGAACACCTGACTTGGTGGCCCAAAAGCTGAGAGGCGGGTATCATGTCGCCGCAGAATTCGCAGGGCAGTTCGACCTCGGGCGAGCTTGGCTGGGGGGCAATGAAATAGTCATCGGGTTCGGGCGACCTGAAATATCGAGTTATAATATCAGAATTGAAAAGGAATATTCTCAGATATATTTATGAACACAAAAAAAATTGATATATACCTGTGGTAACCCACAGTATTGCTTAAAGCACTAAAGCACAGATCACTGAATAACACTTTTATAACTATATTAATATAACCATATAAACAATAAACTGAATACACTATAAGTAACGATTCTCTCGAAATCACCTGGTTAACTAAAACTATATCGAATTCTTCATCCTACAATGGAATGAATCAGCAGTTGTTATGCAAGCATTCTGTTTCATATAGATTCGTCCACAGGTCTCCACAATACCCATATAAAGAAATACATTGAGAATTCGCATTCTCCATGTCATCAAAATATCAATTCTTTCTCGGTTTATTCAACAGAAAACAACTACTTCCCTGGCTATATGCCACGACGAATATTGAATTACATCTATTGAACACACACGATAAGAATTGAAAAAAAACAAAAACTTCTGAAGAAGAGAATTTGCATTCTCCTTCATATAATAGATATGCATATAATATCAATCTGAATATTCAACAGAAAACAACTTTTTTCCTGGTTATTTGCCACGTCGAACATTGAATTATATCTATTGAATATCCAAAAAGAGAGCATGAAAAATCAAAATCCTCTAAAATTGAGAATTGACATTATCTCTCAAATCGAATACAATAATATGATGCATTATGATATGAAAATATAACTTACCAATATGTTCAGTATTAAAATGAAAATTGAAATGTATAGGAGAAGTATACTTGTGTAAGAGAGTATCGTATCCAGGAGCTACATACATATATGCCCTGTATAATGCTTCTAGATTAATGAGTGTCGATCTATTGATGACACACGGGGTTATGTAAAAGGTGTCGGATATTTTGTGTAGAATTTATCGATATATGAGTAATATTAAGTAGTCAAGAAGTAGCCGTGATACGGCTAGGTTGTATCTGATACCTATTGTGAATATAGTGGAAATCGTGGAGTACTCAGAGTGTTCTATTCTAATAACCGTCCACCAAGCTAACAATTGTATGAACTCTGATCTTGATGAGCTTGGAACTTCCAAAAAAATCATTCGTATCAGTGATATGGGAATTATATATATCTCTCCACGTCCTGTATGATGAATATCAATTCATTACATTAGGAGTGAGATCTGGAGCCAATGCAGTTTTCGTGATATTTTCATAAATAACATTATTATACAGAATTCTTACTAGGCTGATTACACTCAATTTCATTAACTTCAGTGACCCACAATGTGATTCGAAATTTTTTGCCATTTTGTGAGAGATTGCTGCACATACCCTTCAGCGATATTCATAGACTTCCAAGAAAGAATGTCTCCTTCAGAATTTGCAAGTAAACTTGAATTTTCCAAGTTTGACGAAACAATAATTATCTCCAACCCCGGAAAACCCCAGATACCTTCCAATTTTGCATAGAATCGGATCATAATTTCAATACTCGTACGCCATATGATCTTCCTCAACAATTAAATACCCTGTAGATACCCATTATTAAAATTTTGAATCATTTTCTGTAGCGCCCATGGATGTGACGTGACAGCAATGTCAGGGATGCCAGTAGACAAAACTAAAGTCTCTAGATCATCAAAAAAGAATGCAGCTATGATCTGTCCGTACCCTGTTGAGATGACTTCAACGTCAATTTCAAGGGACCCTAGTGAAAAGTACCGAACAAACTTTTCGGGAAAAAAAAAAACTTCGCATGATAAGTGCACTTTTAACGACAAATTACAAATTAAATTATCACCTTCTGCGCGGATTGAACCTCGCCAGGTCTGGCCGGCATCCCGTCTCGTGCTGGATAAGCTCGTCGTGCGGAACAGGCACTGCGCAAAATTCGCACGGTATCACCAATTCCGTGGGGGGGTTTCGTCTTCTGGACGCCGGTGGCTGAGGAGCTGGCCCTGTGAAAGACAATTTTCTATCGTTTTTCTCTTCAGGCTTCATTCAAATAAGCTGCTGATCAATCGAACCGCATCAAGCACATTTTTGCTCCAAATTCAACATTGAATATTTTCGCAAAAATTCCACTTATTCGGATGCGGTTTTCTTTATTCAGAAAATTGATCCATTGGGTATATGACAGATAGACCGCTGATGGAAATACATGATATCCCTGAAAGCACTCAAGATGCTTGGTTACATCAAGAGGGTATCCAGAGATCTCTCAATCAACTCCTTCAAGGTTCTCTACTGCGCTTTTGTCCGTTCAAACTTGGAGTATGCGTCGGTGGTGTGGAACCCCTATTATCAGACTTACATCAACATGCTAGAAACAGTCCAAAATAAATTCTAAAGAGCTTCAGCGTATAAACTAGGAATTCAGGTAGACAACTATGACTACGATTATCCATCCCTATGTTCATTATTAAAAATAACTACCCTAGAAAACAGGAGAATTGAGTCCGACTTATGTTTTCTGTTCAAGCTGCTAGCTGGTGAAGTCTGCTCTCCTGATCTCCTATGTCATATTGAGTTCAAAATTAATAATTCTAGCACTAGGTCAAAGGACACCTTTCACATTAGGCATCATTACAGAAACTATGGGTTCCACACTATACTCTAACAAGAAGGATAAGGAAGGCAAATGATGTAGATTTGAACCACTTCGGAATACCCTTATCTACTTTCAGACTTGAACTAAAAAAATACTTGGCTAAGTGATACTAGAAGTTTGTATGTGATTGATCTCTCATCATAATAAGAGTTTTTACAATTTTGTGTAGTATAATATGTATTGTTTCCTTCATATATTTGTAGAACCACTGTTTTAAAGTAGGAGTGTTAATGCCCTTCTAGTGAGTTAGCATTTGTGGGAATAATTCAAAGACTGCTATTATTATTTATTGTTTTAAGATTTTACTTGTACAGTGTTGTAATGGATATTTCCGTGAATAAATAAATAAATAACCTCTGGCTATACAGGGTGACAAACAAACCTCTGCAAAATATTGAAAAATTCTCCATACTCCCAATTTGATGGAGAATTTTTGAGATTGTTTCAAGCATATTTTCATAATTTTCAAGCATATTTCTAGAAATGGTTTCGCAATTTTTCTCGTATCTTTCCAGATTTTCGGGAAAAAGTTTTTTTTTCGAAAAATGTGATAATTTGTACTACTGACCAGAAATATTCTTATTTGTAGCTCAAATATCACAGATTGTCTCTTGGATGAGCTATTGTGACCTTTATTGTAAGAAATCTTATATTTTTTATGTACAGAGTGTTTGGCAACAATTTTTGATAGATATTATTACAGAAAGACCGAGCACAACACATTGATCAACTTGTATAGTGTTCGAGATTGAATGACAGCAACTTTCCTTGAAGTTGCAGAAAAAAAACGAGAGATAGAATATACAGGGTGATATACCAAGATTGATGGAAGTTTTATACAATGAAACTTTGAGAGTTCAAAAATGTATGTGGTAAATCAATGAATTCTTACTCATCTCTCCTACTCTTACTCATCATTGGAATGTTGCTCAGTGTAGAATATACGAGGTGATTCACAATAACCTGCTTGTTCCTCTGGATAGAAATTTTGAGCCTTCAAGAAGCATTTTGTGGCGGAGGAGTTACGATATGGGAGGGCGTAACACTTACAGGACGAATCATAAATGGCACGGTTACAGCAGAAGTGTACAGAGACAGATGCATGCAAACTTTGGTGATGATTTTGTCCTTGTCGATGACAATGCGAGACCACATCGAGCACGAATCATCAACCAGTTATTGCAAAGACTCAACATAAATCGTATGGAATGGCCACCCAAGTCACCCGATTGTAATCCGATTGAACATGTGTGGTCACGTTTGAAGAGTCGAATACGATCGAGATCGAATCCAATCGGAAATATCAATCAACTGATAACCATTGAAAAGGAATGGGAATCACCTCGTATATTCTACACTGAGCAACATTCCAATGATGAGTAAGAGTAAGCGAGATGAGTAAGAATTCATTGATATATTCGTACATTTTTGAGCTCTCAAATAATGTTGTCGTCTACAACTACAAAAGACAAAAGGATGTGCTGATGACTGAGCTTGTAATATAATAACTAAGCATTTCAGTTGATAGGCGAGTATCCTTAATTCCCCAGTTATTTTGAAGATCATTATAGGTGAAACAAACTGTTTTCAGATTAAAGAGGCATTGAGATTTAAAAGGGACAAATAATTGAATTTTAACAAGTTTCCATAGTCTTTATCATTTGATGTAGGTATTAAAGTTATCAGAAATCACAAAATAAAAAACAGAATGAAGCAAAAAAGAACAAAACAACGAATAGAACATGATTTATTTAGACCACTGTCTCATTATGTCTCTCTAATTTCTGTCGATGGTTTAATAAACTAATTAATTCAAATTCGAAATACAACCTGTTACATGAATTTACTACGTTAGATTTTATTACTAAAAATAATCATTTAAAAATGAGACAGAAATACTCGATTTTATAAAAAATGGATTACTAAGATGTCAGACTAGTTCCTCTAAATAGTGGGAATATTAAAATTAGAATTGGCTGAATTCCAAGTATATGAATGTTGAGCATGTACATACATGAAATTGTTTTCTCTAATGTCCCCAATACTATGATGATACCTATTGTCTATCTATTTTTTTTTTGGGACTGTAAATATATTTTGTTTTGATAATGTGGTCAAGAAATTTAGTTAATGACTCTGACCTTAAGACTTTTTTAAATAGGTTTTCATAAAAGGTGCCTGCCCTTGAGATTTATAAATATCGAATTCTTATGAAAAAGAAAACATGAGTATGCCATTTTAGTAAATAACACAAAAACAAGCGCGGGGCACTATTCAATAATTGTTATATACTGTGTCCAATATAAGGATGTCTATCATGGAGATCGTTTTTATTTTTTTCTGACGTTATTTGAATAGATATAGGAAAACAAAAGGAACTTTCCCATTGCCACTTTTCAAGCTCAACAAAACAGCGTTGAGAGATTTTACGTACGACGTTTCGGATTTCGGAGAAACCATCATCAACTTTACCCCATGATAGACATCCTCATAATGGACACAATGTATATTAGCCAATAACACAAAAAAGAAAATTGTGTTTTAATCAGTTTGAAGTAATTCTCTCAGACTATACTTCTAGGAAATATGTAATCTGAGGAATCATCACACTGTTTGTTTAATTTTGTACTTGGATCTCTCTTTCATAAATCAAACACAATTTTCCCTGGATTTGCTTGTAAATTTCGACAAAATTCCAAAAAGCCTGAGCATGCTAGCATTATGAACCTTTAGTATGGTTGAAATGATTTCTGGGTAGCGTCCCACTACGTCTTAATGGCACAGTTATACCAGCAGAATCATGAAGGAGATTTCTGATGTACTCTGTTTTACCTGATATTAAAAAACACAATTAGTATTAATCCAATTGTTTCAAGTTGTAAATAATGTTAATAATATACAGTGTGTCTGAAAAAGTTGGCAACAAATGGAAAACTTTTTTTATAATTAACTTTAGGAAAAGAATGGTATTCTTTATGAAAAATTCTGCAAGGCCTGAAACCGAAAATGCAATTATTATCAGATATCAATTTTTTCCAGTCATATAGAGGTACTATGTCAAAAAACATTAATTTTGCTTAAGAGTAAAGTAAGAAGAGTCTGACCACGATAACTTTGGGACAGCACGTGGTCGTGTATGCATTGAATATGCATATGCGTTGCGTCACATGCTGTCCCAAAGTTAACGTGGTCGGACTCTACCTTTGTATCCGACAATATCGAAAATTGGTATTTAAAAATATTGACTGGAAACAAGAACTACCTTCAAATATCTATTCCATATGAATCAAACAGAACTCTAAAATAAAGGTACTTCATCCATATAAAAAAATTGTTGTTCTAAAATTGTTCTATCCGTCATTAGGTTGCCCCCTTACGAGCAACCCTCAGAAGTCTTCGAAAGTCTTGTGCGAGCAAGGAATGACGGGGGCCTTACCTTTTTAACGTGTCATCCCAAACACTTTCTTGGGCCATCAGAAAAATTTCTGCAGTCGATGGGAATCGAACCCACGACCGGCAAGCCAATGCGAATTAGAATATAGACACTCTGTCCGCACGGCTACCTGGCCCGCGAGAGATATATGACTGAAAAAATTCCCTCATATTTGAAATTTCTGTTTCAAGAATTGCAGAACTTTTTATAAGGAATCATTTTTGTCTGAAACAAATAATAAAAAAGTTTTCCATTCGTTGCCAACTTGCATCTTTTGTTCACAATGCATTATGGTGACTAGCGTCTTGAATTCAATAAGTGGAAGACACTGGATATAATATGAATATATTGCCATCTTATCGCCATCTAGTGGCTGAAAATCGAAGTTCACAACAAGCTGCAGCAGTCTAGATGGCACAATCATAATTTGAATTAGGCCTATTTATCCATAATCATAGATTCATAGAAGAACTCAGTAGCAAGTAGCTTCGATTGACCATACTTAATACTTTTTTGGTGGCAACTTATGAATATAAATTGTCCAGATGATTACGACATTCATTTATAATATTATACTTCATCAGAAATGTGTATTTATTATACATTTTCGAAAGGAGATACCAGTGCAACCAATGAATATGTGTCAATTAGCAAACTAATCCATAGAAAAACAACAGCTATTCGGATTTTGATTGTTCCCAATATACAATCAATCAATAATGTTGCCAGGGTAGCAACGAATGAGACCAAGTCGGTCACCTATCTTTCGACTTATACCGACAACACACCACAGGGAGAAATGGAAGATTTGGATACGCCAAATCAGCGCGCTAGAGTTATTTCCGTTATGTAACGGCATGTTCTCCTGCTACCATTTTATTAGGCAAGATATCCTCCCACTTGACCCATAGTGGGATTCTTCTTCACCTCCTCTACCGTAGTCCGGTTGTGGTTTTTGGAAACTGTTGCCCCCTGGAGTCCAACCCAATTGGTGAGGCATCAGGTCGTATGTACGACCTGATGGGGCTATCCTCATCACCCCAGGTACCCATGTCAACAAGATTCCTCTTGTTACGTTTGATGGGTCGCCGTCGCAAGAGGCTTTCGCCTGATTGCTACTTATGTTGACAAGAATCCTCACGTCCCGTTGTATGAGTGATCGAGGACTTTCCACGTTCCTCTACCTCGTTTACAGGAGAGGACCCGGTTTTACCTATGATGACTGGCGATAGGATCGCTTTGGGCTACCCCATCCCTGACGAACTAAGGCACAAGGTACACCATAGTTCCAGTTTTCGCTGAGCAAGCCCAGCTACCCATGTCGACCGGAATCCTCCGGTCCCGTATGAACGGTTTCCGTTCGCGGCCATTCACACGTACCGCTACCAAGACAAGAGTAGGAACCTCAAGCTTTTAACCAGATGTACCTGGAATCACCTGAAGCTGCCCGTTACCATCGAGATTATAAGGCCTGCATGCTTCCGTGGTGACGTCACCTTAGTGAGGCCTAACCAGCGGCTCGAAATGACAAGCGCTTATGGCGCTATAAGACGACCGCGTATTTCAATATCAGTTTAAGACCATTATTGAGCCGATTTCGCTGTTTTCATTAAGGGCTTGCGGTTAAAAAAGGATGCCAGTCGTCAACTGAGCCCTTCTTCGCATCCCATTCGGTTTTATTATGGAAAAACGAAGTTTCAAAGCAAAAACCAGAATAAAACACAAATACCCATCTACAGCAACCCATTCGAATTAAATAAAGAAAATTGTGGAAAATGTATTTTATTTTGATAGACATGCCGTTTGTTATAATTACCTATATTTATCTTGGAGAATTCCTATTACCTAAAAAATTAGCCAGTGAGTGTTTTCAATTTCCTGTTGTTGGATTTTTTACCCAATTGATCGTTAGACTTGAAACAGTAATTTTTAAGGGTAAAACTGCATTTATCATGCAATGGTTTATTTTTCGAAAATTTTCATTGGTACTTACGTATTTTTGTCTGAAAAGAACGAATTTGATAATGAAAATGTGAACAATTAAAGCTACTTCTCTTCTTATTTTGTCATTGGACACTTCATAAACTCATGATGTACTTCGATGACACATTTTTATATTGAAAATTCTACAGGAAATATGATTTTTATCGCGGGTTTTTTATATTTAGTGAACAAGCATTCCAGATGACGGCCATTTAATCAATAGTCAATCAAAATACGAGATGTCAAATGTCAACAGATTGCTTTGGAATGACATTACACACGCCATTATTTTAAATGATATTCTTCCTTCTTTTCACTAAATATGGATAAATCTCAAGAAAATCATATTTATAGTTGAATTATATAATAGAAAAAAATGTGTCATACATTGTTATATATAAATTGTCCAATATGATGAAAAAGGAAGGGAAAATTGTTCTAAATGCCATCCAGAAGACAGGCGAAATTTGTAACTTTATAGTCAAATATATAAATAATGGTTTGTTCACATTTTCATTATCAAATTCGTGTTTTTCAGACAAAAATACGTAAGTACCTAGAAAAATTTTCGAAAAAAAACCCATCGCATGATCAATGCAGTTTTACCTTTTCAAGTAGTGTTTGTAGTACATGTTAATATGATAGTTGCAATTCGATCATTGGAATGAATTCTGCATTCATTGCCACGAGGCAAATGACCGTTTTCAGAAAAAAATTTGAGAGTGTATTGAGTTAAAAATGCCCGTTTATTATGAACATTCAAGAAAATTTCCTCGAATTCAGAGATGATTTTGTTGAATATAATATACGAATACAAAACTAACTGCACAATCAAAGCTTTTCTCTCTTTCCTCTACTCATACTTTTTATGAGAGAGTAATTGTCTTCTATTATTAATTCATCATTATAAATTAAGCTCTGTTTACTACTGTACTTAGATGGAGTAAAATCCTCGCGGTGAATTGCATACACCCACTTTTTCGATAGTTCCTTGTCCAACGGGAAGGCATGAACTTTTGGAACACCCACATAATTCCCCCGACCAAAGGGAACACAACACTTGAAAGGCATTGTTATTTCGCCTATCACAACACAAAATATTTCACAAAAAAGTAATTTTTCTAAGTAATAAACAACAAAAGAATTCGGGACCGCTTCAAAGACATACGTGATTCACCGATGAATTAACACGAACTGACGCGTTAGCCGACAAGCGGTAAAACACTGGCCTCTCTTAGGTGACGTCACGAGCTGTTTACGTCAGAGTCTGCTGGCCTTCTAATCTCGATGGTAACGGGCTGCCCCCACTCGACGGCCAAATTTTCTCGTATGAACTATCATAAAATCATGGAGCTTCAAGTAAATAACTCGAACAAACAATCAGTAAAATTGTGTGGAGCCCCGGGATTCATCGACACAAGCCAAACAGTCCAAACGTATAGTCTGGCTTCCAACAAATGACCGGCGGGAAGAATGTGAGCCCAGACCACAATAAAGGGTGAGTCATGACTAACCACAGTCATAGCCTTATGGCGGATACAGAAAGTCAAGCTGACTTGATATACAGTGTGTCTCACTTATTATGGAAACACCCCTGTATCTTATGTAATCGTTGGGTAAGGATCCTGCAATTTGCTGGAGCGAGAGATATACCAGAAATGCACTCTATGACCAAGTTGGGTAATCTTCAGTGATTTACACTGCTCGCCAGTAGCCATGGAACCACCACAATTTCCGGAAAATGATATTAGGAGTCAAAATACGTAAGGACGCCCAATTCACTAAATATTTATATTGTTCCTATAAAATTGTCAGTTCTGAAAATTTCATTTTTGTCTTCATTTTCATGGAAACACTCCCGTATCTTACGTAATCGTTGGGTTAGGATACTGAAATTTGCTTAAGCGAGAAATATATCAAAAATATACTCTATGACCAAGTGGAGTCATCTTCAGTGATATACACTGCTCGCCAACAGCCATGAAACCACTCCAATTTCCGGAAAATGATATTAGGAGGCAAAATAGGTTGAGAATCCCTTCAGATTCGGAATCAGGACGCCGAATTCACTAACTATTCATATACACATAAAATCTATAAAACAGCACTTACAGTCCAACCTCCTAGAAATCTCCTTGTAGCTCTCCCCTTCCTTTTTCTTCGCTCCCCCTGATGGTTGATAAGTCGACGGTAGATAGGGCATTGGGTCATAATCGAAGTCCGTGAAAGATCGGAGCATTGGAGGCCTTCTTCTGGTGTAATCAGACGAGGTCGAACCAGTACGTTCGGTTGACGAGTCCCAAGATGGCCGTGGACCTGGCTCTAAGAGAAAGATAATGGGCGAGTGGACTAATATTGAATTATTGGAATTGAATTACTCCAGTGTCTTTAGGGACCTAAATTAATTTTTTTATGTAAATAATGAGTCTATGCATTGTTTGAAATTGTTGAATTTCAGAACTCATTTCAAACGTATCGTCATGGCCGCCATTCGGCGATACGTCGAATAAATGATGACGTTAGTTTTTATGCTGTTTCGTTATTGGTCAGATAATCTTTCATTCCCACTCATGAAGCAAGGTGGCCAAGTCACCAATTATAATAAAGTTATCAAAGATATGTTACTTCTTGTCATTGAATAAAACATAATAGGAGGAACCCATGATATTATAGCTGATTCTTGACCTTTTCGAGCAACCAGCATGCCCAAATATTTCTTTTACTCCATAACAAAATATCATGTAAGTGTTGGAGACTTGGCAACATTGTGTTGGATGTTGAGAACTGACAAGACCACACCCACAATTCGTGCGCCGTTGTTGTCACGTTTACCCAAGCGTTTAATGATTATTATTTACGCAAATTTATTAGAAGCAATAAGCCACAAATCATAAGGGAACATTTTGAGACAATTGATTTTTCAATGCTCATTAGGAATATTGCTTATACATAAATGATAGTTTATCGATTATTGAATAACTAATATTTCCGACGTTCCCAATCGTATTTCAACATATGGCAACTGTGCTATGGTCTGCCCCTACATACGAAATCGTGACGTCAGTTTTTACTCGCGGTAAATTTCTAGTCGTTTGAATATTACCGTGGCATTATTGATAATGTTGGCACCTTGAAAATCGACCGATAAATTCCAAAAGAAGATGATATTTAAAGGTATTTGAGTGATGATTCTATTTAAGAAATAAAAAAAAATGTCCAATCGCCTATTGGTATTCGAGTTTCATCATTATCTATATAGTAATCCCTTATAGTAGAGGGAAAGAGGCTAAATGGGGATTTAGTCTCTTTCAATGTGGGAGACGCGTGTACAGTGTGTCCAGTTTTCGATGCTTTTGCATGATATCTCAGTTATCTTTAGAGATAGAACCTTGCGGTTTTCGCGGTCCTGTGCCACTTTTTTGTGAAACTCAAAATGGCCTCATCAGATTTTGCAGGACTATTCCCATTTATGAGATACAGGGTGATTTTGAAAATTTATACTTTTTGGACCCCCTCTATATCTACGAAGTTTATCAGCGTAAATGTCAAATTAAAATCTTAACCCATAGAGAATTTTATGCAGAATTCAGTGGCGCACAAAAAATTTCTTTTCGGGGTGTGGTTTTGAAAATACGACTCAAACTTATGATTTTTTAAACTGAACACCCTGTATTTTATAGGCTCATTGAATTACTTATTTTTTTCTCTTCGAAATGATATATGATGTATAAATAAAGCATCTTCAAAAATGTTAAAAAATCATTAAAACATTGAATTTTAATAGTGGGCTATGGGTTTTTCGAGGAATTTTCATATAAAGAAATTTACAATTGAAGGAATATTTCCTTTGATTGTTCCATGAAGGGGGAAATAACAATTTCAACACTAATTAACTTGCAATACACAAGACTCAGATACCTGATATCCACAAATATATAGTAATGAAGAGTTTATAATGTAGAATAAGCACCTGATTGAATATTTACTAAAACAATTGAATTTCGAAATTATTCAGTGATTTATTCATTGAATTGTTCAAATTGATGTCCATTTTTCATCACAAACTTTCTCAATACATATCAATCATTGAAAGATGTCTTTGTAATTCCTGGAAAACTGCCTCTGTTGTTGCACAAAGTTCTTCAAGTATGTTGGGCCACTCACTGTATTAAGAAGTATTGAGAAAGTTTGTCAACTGTATGTTGGGGAAAATGGATATCAATTTGAACATGTCAATGAATAAGTTACTGAATAATTCCGAAATTCAATTATTTTACTAAATATTTAATCAGGTGCCTATTCTACATTATGAACTTTTTATTACTATTTATTTGTTGCTATCAGATAACCAAGTTAAGTGTTTTGTTAATTAATAAGTGTTGATATTGGTTATGACCTTTCCATGGAGAAATGTAAAGAAATATTTCTTCAATTGGAACGTTTTTCATAAGAAAAATCCATAACCGACTATCAAAATTCAATATTTTAGTGATTTTGAGCAATTTTGAGAATTTTATATTCTTTCGTTATATATCATTTTGAAGACAAAAAAATAAGGAATTTAAAGAGCTTATGAAATACAGGGTGTTCCATTTAAAAAATCATAAGTTTGAGTCGTATCTCCAAAACCATACCCCGAAAAAAAAATTCAAGTGCGCCACTGACTTATGCGTGAAATTCTCTATGCGATAAGATTTTGATTTGACATTTTTGTTGAGAAACTTCGTGGATATAGAGGGGGTCCAAAAAGTATAAATTTTCAAAATCGCCCTGTATCTCATAAGCGGAAACAGTCTTGCAAAATCTGATTAAGCCATCTTGAGTTACATAAAAAAGTGGCACAGGACCGCGAAAACCTCAAGGTTCTATCTCCAAAGATAACTGAGATATCAGGCAAAAGCATCGAAAACTGGACACACTGTACAGGTTCTCAAAAATGTAAACCAGAACTGCCACAAAGACATACCTACTCGCGAGAGCTTCAGATATTAATAGTGTACTGGACCCAGGTGTTTCTGATAACCGAAAAATATCAATCTGCCGTGGTAGAGAATAGGTAATAAAAAAATTATTCGAGCTTGTCAGATATTGAGAAGGGATGTTAAGTGAACCCTCAAGTAGCTCCTATTCAAAAGACTGACGATTTAGAAGCGACCAGAAGTCATGACCAACTTTTAAAAATGAAAAAAAAGTGACCTTGAAATACTCGAGCGCCTCAAATTATTATACAGACGCTTCATCTTAATGTCCTTGTTGTATTGACCCATAATCTGACAATTAGGTAGAGGAATTTCCTTAATCTGATAATTGAATTTGTTTTTGTTTACTGAATGTGATAACTAAATTATGATATATACAGGGTGAGTCAGTTTCTTGTAGCAGGACTTCAACAGCTCAAAGAATTTACAATTTTGAGATAAAAAGCTCATGTAGACATACCGGGATATACAGAGGGTATTGGGCCACCCCTGTAACTCTTGCATTTCTGACATTTGGTACAGTTATATTAGCAACCATCTCAGATTTGATCCCCTGACAATCCAATATGGCTTCCGGTTTTTCTGGAAATGCCAGCAACTAGACTAGACAAATTGCTATAGCTACGGAGAACAACCTTATCGTGCATAGCAAGAGTAGGGCCGTCACAATAGATCGTCAAGGTCGCAGCATTGATTTTTTTTTTTTTTAAGTCATGAATTAATTCAAACATTTTCCAATAGTAACAAATGGCATTATTAACGTCAATTTAAACTGAAAAACCCAATGCCATTATGCATTATGGAAACCTGGCGAAAAAATCTGTGGTTTACTTCTTATTGTGTAAGCTTGACATTTCAATGAGGATTTTGATGCCTGGCAATTATAGTAAAAAAAATTGCTGTCCAAAATAACACTAGTGCATATAGTTAATAAGTCATAGGTTGAATACAGGCAGCTATTCATTTACTTCAATAGATAGTTTCAGTCAGTTGTTTGTTACATTTTTGTATTTTGTTTATGTGAATAAAATTTCATTTCTTTTGAAGTGAATTAATTCAAAAAATTCCGAATCAATTCAAGAAGTCGGACTTTTATGACTTTCTTATAAAAGTCATGACTTATTCGAACCCTGCGACCGTCGCAGTGTATTCACCCCTTATGCATACGATACAATACAATGCGTCAATCCAACTCGGGGCGAATTTTAACGCACAACGTGGTTACGTTTCCGCTGGACTAATTAATTCATCTGTGACGGGAAAAAAGTTTGGCATTTCATCTCTGTTGGCAGGTTATAAAATGTCACTTTACATAAATTACTTTTTTCCCACGGGAAAAAAGTGAGTACTTTTTTCCCGGATATATATCACATATATACACACTGTTGATGGCTTTAGTTGTGCTATAGTTCCGAAAAATGAGTCAATAATACCGTCTCCGAGAAAGAACTGCAAGTCCTTTTATCTTCCATTCGACTTCGCGGTTACGTATATTACTAAACAACCGCACTAAATTCGCAATTTTTTGAAATCAAATCACAGAATTAGACTGACAGAAGTGACATCAGATATTTGATTACTTCAAAAGAATGATAAAGATGCCTACAACGCAGGCGTCCCTACTGTTAAAAACTTAAAATTTCACGTTGTTAATTTTCAGATTTCAAAATAATGTAATATCTTCTCAATATTGATTCGTCCTTTCTTCTGTCACAGAAAAAAATAGTGTATTATACACGGGAAAAATATTAGATTTTAGCTCACGATTTTTTGTCTCCCTCCGCTACGCGTCCGGAGACAATACAACCTGGAGCTAAAATCTACTACTTTTTTCCATGTATAATAAAAAACTATTGATTCTAGTTGTTTTGTCATAAACGTTCCCCCCAAATCATATCATAAGACTGGGAATGTTACCGCTAATTAATATCATACAGCTCACCATCTTTGAGTTTCACAAATCCATGATTGGAATCCAAATGCACTTGCTTGTTCTTGTACATAACCAGTTCTCCACACTCCAGGCATTTATCAGTCCTTGTTCCACAGTAGTTTTCATGGTCCTCCAACTCCAATTTTGGCAGTTCAAGTTCACAGTACCTGCAAGCCAACAAACCAGTAGGTTTCGGTTGTGGTTTCTTCATTGGTGGTAAGGCAGCTGCTGCAGCACCTTGTTCTTGTTCTTTTTTCAGAGCAGAATCCATCTTTACCTCTTTCATTGAGGTATTAGAGAGACCATTTTGATGCACACTCCTAGAGTCAAAGCTATTATTTGATGAGTATGCAGATTTCCCGGCAAACTCTTGGTCAGTTTTTCTTGTTGAGTTTTCCTTGAAACTGTAACCAGAGTCAACAAGTCTGTCCATCTTCTGTAAGTACCTTTCTTTTCTTGCTTCAACTTTCTTATCTTCAACAGCTTTCCGAGTTTGGAAGTAGGAGCTTTTTTCTAAAGTTGTGGGAGGGATAATAGGTTTTTTATTCACAGTTGGTTTCTTGCATGAATTTTCATGCTTTTCATACTCAGATTTTGGAATTGGCTCTCTACAGGTCTTACACAAAGTTATGTTTCTAGCACAGTGCATTGTGTGCATAACATAGTTAGTTTGAGGAATTTCTTTTTTGCTGGAAATAAATGTAAAAGATGCCGGTTTTAATTCTGAAATGATGATGGTTCTTCATTGAAATATGAACTGATAAGTCAGCCTCAAGTATTATAATCTTTGAACAGAAATCTTAGAATGTTGAGGTGCTCAAACTCATAAAAAGAACTGAATTTAATTGGATAAGTCCCAAATAAATTCAAGATATTACGAGATAAATGAGTTGAATACATTCAGGGGAGAAAAATACTGTTTATATTTCCGATTATGATGAAGACAGCTTAGGGAGGTATTTTTCTCAAGAAATGAAAACATTTGACATCAGAATGAGGGAGTAATTCTTGAATAAATAGACACTTCCCTTCATGGCAATATTACATTTTTTGCTCGACTTTTTGCTCCTACTACATATAGATAATAATTTCTAAGAAAATTTATAGAATTGGCACAATACAAAAACAACAAAAGTTGATGAAACTGTGGCGAATACATCCCGTTTTTTTTTCACAGTAAAGAAATAAAAAATATGTGGAAATTGAATACCACAATAAGGCATTTTCAAGATTTCATCAGATGTTTTACAGTGTGATCCTTTGAAGTGGTGTAGGTTTTATAATGAGTCAGCCTGACCGCATTTTGTCAAGTCCACCATGAAATTATGATCAATGTGATTTGAGTTATTATTCTGATAAACAAGCTATAACATATATCAATAGGTACTTCAAATTAGACGAGAACTCAATTTCATGACTTTCATATCAAAGTAAAATTACAATGCACATAGAATATATGTGATGTAATTTCTCTAGAAACTCCAATTATTCACAGTTCTTCCTGGACAAAAAAAAACAACTGAAATTCGACAAATAATGGATTATTTCATCAAAATTCGTAAATATAGATATTTCTAAAGCAATAAATAGTTACTTATGCAACAAGTGCAAAAAGTGAATGTTTATTGCACGAGTTGCATACAACATTTTTTCTACGTTCATGCAAAAAGCAAAAAATGATTTATTGAGGTGCGGCACTAGGTGTAGGAAAATGAAAAACGCAACTTAATTTTTGACTGACGTTTCTATAACCACAGTTGCAATATAGAAAATGTTTGTCATGATGACAGCTCGTTGAATTAGAATGACATATGAGTGCAATAAAAACTTTATAGCACTAAGTGCAACAAAGAACTTCTTTTTCCACTAAATATAGTTCTGCTTTTTGCATGAATGTAGAAAAAGAATATAATATCCTACCTATGGAAATAAAAAATAAAGGCTAAATAAACTATCTAAACTGCTACTTTTCACCAATATATTTTGAATCATTGTAAATATGATTATATAATGAGAGAAAAGGAATGAATAACTAAATAGCAGTGGCGGCTCGTGCTCCTTTCAACAGGGAAGACTGAATGGGAAGAAAAATAGTAAAAAAACTTCATATAAACATGGGTCCAAAATTGCCCCCCTGGGGGGGGGTTATAGCCATCTGAAGGAGGGCCCAAGTTGATTGGTTCATGTGAATATTATTGAAACCCTCTGTGATACTATCACCCCTTCTTTCAACATCTACTATACACAATAACAGACTATTAACATCCATTCATGGCGAGTGCTATTGACAAGAGTACCATTCTTAGATGAAAATTATGATATTTCAATATTCTAGATCAAACTGCCGAAAATTGCATAAACAGAGAAGTTATGGTGGAAAGCGCGTCTAGCCTCACCTATTTTCCACGCCCCTGATCAAAATTTTGGAAAATTCTGAGAAGTAAACCGCGGTGGAATTCTGCTGTACAAACACCTGGAATCCCTTGGAATTCCCTGGATTTCCTTAGAATTATTTGGATTTTATTGGAATTCCATAGATTTCCTTGGATTTTCTTCACACAACTGGAATTCCTTGGATTTCCTTGGAATTCTTTGGATTTCCTTGGAACTCTTAGGGTGAAGTGCGGTATAATTCTGGTGTACAAACAACTGGAATTCCTTGCAATTTCTCGAAATTCCTTGGATTTCCTTGGAATTCCTTGGAATTTTTTTTTTAGCCGCTTGGAGCGCACGAAATTCCTTGGATTTCCTTGGAATTCTCTGCAATTCCTCGAAATTCCTTGGAATTCCTTGGATTTCCTAGGAATTCCTAGGAATTCCTAGGAATTCTTGGAATTTCCTTGAAATTCCTTGAATTTCCTTGCAATTCTTTAGATTTCCTTGGAATGCCTTGGATTTCCTTGGAATTTCCTGGAATTCCTTGGAGTTTCTTGGAATTCCTTGGAGTTTCTTGGAATTCCTTGTGTGAAGTGCGGTACAATTCTGGTGTACAAACAACTGGAATTCCTTGGAATTGCTTGGAATTCCTCGTGAAATTGAAGTTTGGTGTACACAATTTTGACCGCGGTTTACACCTCGGAAAATTCTAACAATTTCAAAATTGAGCAGTTTCCTGGAGGTGGTCAAAACCCTTTATGGACACCACGAAGGACCATTCCCTGCATGGTAATCCCTACATGTATAGGTGTACCTTCTAACACTCCACCTCCTTTCAAGGCTAGTCTGACCTAGGGTCCCTTGATGGATATTGACGTTAAAGTCATCTTAACATGACTTTAACGTCAATTTCCATCAAGGGACCCTAGTCTGACCGAAGTCATGGATGACATTTAGTTCTGTTGGTCCATTGTACCATTGGACCTGGAATATGCCGTTATTGATTTTATCATATAGGATCCATATGGTTCTTATATAAGGGCCACTTCAAATACCGCCACAGTAATTGTGAGCACTGCTGCTCACAGTACCAGAAGTTCGTTTAAAATACCCTTTTCATTCAGGTTCCTAAAGACTGCTGCTCACAGTACCAGAAGTTCGTTTAAAATACCCTTTTCATTCAGGTTAATAAAAACAACTCTTCCGAGCCTTGGCCTCGTTCATTAAGAAGGCCAAAAGTATTCCTTCTCAGCAATTGGGAAGGTCCCGTTATCGACATTAATAAGATCAGTGCCAAACATCCCTGCAGGTTTACGTTCATCTGTTATTTACTGGAAATGTAATTTTAACATACAGGGTGTCCGGAAATTAGGCGCAAAAAATCAAGGGGGTGATTCTACATGATAAAATAAGAATTTCATTTCATATGTACGTGGGTCCGGAAATGCATAGTTTTCAACATAAAGTGTATAAAAACTTTTAAAAAAGTTCGGTTTTTTATGAATATCTCAAATGTCCTTCTACCGATTTTCTTGAAATTTGGCAATGATATTTCTTGTCATGAGGGGCTGATATAGCGATAATTCAATCGGAATTATGAAAGTCAGTGGCGTCCCAGGGGGCAACCTAGCGAATATTATTGTCAATAAAATGTGCGCCACTGATTTTTTTGAATTCTTCATCTTTATCACCTATTGACCATCTAAAAATACAACTTTTTGGTCTCTTGAGTTGTTCTGAAAATTTGCTTCATTTCCATGGAAAAAAATAAATACCAATTTATTGCATGAATTTGTGCCAAAAAATTCCTTTAAAAACTAGGGTGAAAATAAATGCGTGATCAATGTCCATAGACATAGAATGAGTATGAAGATTCATTCTCTTCAAATATTTCTTGAAACATGTTTGACACACTCTACACTCTGTATATAGAGAACTATGTATTCTCGCTCCAGGGAGGCTCAGTTTTCGATAATACAAAGTGTGTCAAACATGTAATATAAAATATTTGAAGAAAATAAATCTTCATTATAATTCAACGTCTATGGACATGGATCACACATTTAATTTCACCCCTGTTTTTGAAGCTTTGTTTTGCACACATTTTTACAATGAATTGGTATTTATTTTATTCCACGGAAACGCAGCAAAATTGCAAAACAATTCAGGAGACCAAAATGTTGTTTTCTTAGTTAATCATTAGGATATGACGATGTAGAATTTGAAAAAATCAATGGCGCACATTTTATTGACAATAATATTCGGTAGGGTGCCCCCGGGACGCCACTGGATTTCACAATTCCAATTCAATTATGGCTAAATCAGCCCCTGATGACAAAGAATATCATTGCTAAATTTAGAGAGAATCGGTGAAAGGATATTTGAGATATTCATAAATAACCGATTTTTTCTAAAAAGTTCGACACACTGTATCTTGAAAACTATGCATTTCCGGACCCGAGTATATATGAAATAAATCTCATGTTTTCTCATGCAGAATCACCCCCTTGATTTTTTGCGCATAATTTCCGGACACCCTGTATATTCATGAATATAAGAATATATTTATACCGGGTTGCCTATCGGAATGTGGCCGCAAGTATTTTTATTTAAAATAATAAAAATCGATTTTCTGCAAAAAAATTCATTCATTTGTTTTTTGAATAAAATACATTCCACCTTACAGCTATGTATCTAAACAACTTAAAAAGTGATGCCGTTACGCAATTGGCAGCAACCTCTTCGCAGCCGGGTGTAAACAGTTATCATTTTGTTACATTTATATGTTCATAGCGTTTATATGTCATTTTTATATGGAAGCAAATTTTTTCCTGTGCATGATGGAATAAGTCTGCCAATGCAAATATGGCCGCAAATAGGGGTTGCCAGCTGTTAGAGGTATACAGGGTGTTTCAGAGTTGTGGTGACAGAAGCCTAGAAAAGATTCCTCTCAGCATAATATGAAAAAAAGTTCATATGAATTTGGTCCGAAAATGCTTCGTTTCCCAGATATAGGGTGTCAAAGTTAAAAAAAAAGTCTTTATCAATATCTTGAAAACACTCGAGCCGATTCGAATGAAATTTCTATGGTTCATTTACACAATTATCAGGCATTTATTGGACCAATTAGATTTGATCCAGAATATTCAGGGGCGTACCGATTTGGCAAGTGTCGGTTTTTTTCGTAAAAAAAAGTTACCCCGTGTTATTTCCGGGTTCTTCTTGAATATTCAGATGGACCCACTAAAAATACAACATTTCTGTCTCTTGCTATTTTCACGGCATATCTCTGAACTGAATAAAGAATAAAGAAAAATAAAAATGGTTAAATATTATCCAAAAATGTATTGCACATTATTATTTATGAAAACAAAAATGACATAAAATTCAATACCCTGTCTTCAAATTTTGTGAGAAATATTTTTTCACAATAAATGAAAAACCCGGTATAAAACTTTTTTTTCGAACTTGGAAATGAAGCATTCTCGGACCCATGTTCATATGAACTTTTTTACTATATTTTTGTTCCTGGAATCTATAGAGAAAATCTTTCTATGTAGATTCGGGACACCCTGTATATGCAGGTCATATTGAAAATTTTCCAGACTAGAAATCATTCAGAAAGCGATGACATGCATCCAGTCATTGTTTGAATAAAACGCTGATATTTCAAAACAATAGCAGTCTCATTCCTGTTTCTGCTTGTTTTTCTTTGACATCTTATACAATTTGCAATTGCAGTCAGTTAAAGGCATTCTTGTCTATATTTCTGCGAGATTATGATCAACACAAGTAAATTCCAAAATGTTTTGTAAAACAAAGATATAAAAGCTCTGCAGACAAGTAAATTAGTTTCCTCCATGATTCTGGGACCAAAAGTGATGTCATGCTCATTGCAGAATAATTTTGAAATCCCAAATTGATTTTTAGTGATCATTCATCACACAAAAACTGTTTTCAGGTCACCATAACAGTTGTAATAAAACGCAAAAGTATATATTTTCCAGGTTACAAAATATTAGATTTTGGTAAAGCCTCAACACAGTATTTTACTATTAATTTTGCCTTGGTGAAAAATAATATGAATACAGGGGTGGGCCTCTTTGATGGATTACCCCTGTACTCTGTACTAATAGGTAATTACTATTTTCAATAGTCTCTTTCATAATAGGCATATCTTATTCTGTGTTTACAATCAGAAATATATATGTTTGATAGAAACTATATTATTTACCTACCATTACACATTCAAGTAATTATAATTATCTCATTTGTGATCTGGTGAAATTTCAGTGAAACATTCAGGTATTTATGAATTTCATGCAAAAACCTTGGAACCCACCAAATCAGAATGGATATTTAGTAGTGAACAAGGATTAAGTTATTGGTTTCATATTTTATAGTCATCACTATCATGACATATTTATGTGAATCAACTGTTGTCCAATCAATATATTGATATGAAAATAAATTCCTAAGCACACAATCATGATAAAATATGATAGATTGAATATAAATATTTATGGTATGTTGGGTTGATATATAACCATATAGGTACATATCTGAATATATTTTTATTTTACATTAGTGAAGTGGCTGGACTCACCAATTATTACAAATTTCATGTTCCACACTGTTGTCCATATTAGTGGTGGAGGTAGTTTCTTCTAAACTTTTCTTGAACTCAGGATCTGCCAAGGAATAGAATAGCTAAGTACAGATAAGTAGGTACTTAAAATTAATAAAGATTTTCACTACTTGAATTTGATGTGAATGCACTGTAAGCTGATAGGTAAAACAAAAAGGTTGGAAATAACGTTTATTTTTAGAATATCGTCCGTGAATATGACTGTGTGGTTCTAAAGATATAAAGTTATTTCTGGCAGAATGCTGATTTATCAAAACATTTGTAATATCTATACTACCAACTCCTAAACCTCTAACTCCACCTAGTAGAGATTGTCTATGATATCTCTATTTATTTCCTGCTGCTTGGATAACCCCTCAAATATTATAGAATCCATACAACAATCTGAATCAATACGAACTGAAGCAAACCATTAATGAAATAAAGAACAAAACATCATCTGGTTATGATGAAATATCAGTTAAAATTTTAGAAAATCTCTCAGAATATGCTTTAAATATTCTTGTGGAGGCCATCAATAAATCATTTCGTTCTGGCAGATTTCCTTCATGTCTGAAACTAGCAATAGTCATTCCGCTTCATAAAGGTGGCGAAATGAATGATCCATCAAACTTCCGGCCTATATCATTGCTTCCAACAATCTCAAAAATAATTGAAAAACTTGTTAAAAAGAGAATATTGAACTTCTTAAGTCATCATAACATCCTATGCGAATCTCAATATGGATTCCAAAGCAATAAAAACACAGGCGATGCAATCTTCTCTTTTCTGGAAGATGTGTATATTGGTTTAAATAATAACGAAGCTATTGGGGCAGTGTTTTGCGATTTCTCTAAAGCGTTCGACTGCGTGAACCATGAAACACTGTTATTTAAACTACAGTGCTATGGCTTTAGAGGATTGTCATATAACTGGATTTCCAGCTATCTAACAGATAGGAAACAAGTAGTAAAACTCCAAGGAAATAAATCGCACATGGAGAATAACACAACAGGTGTACCACAAGGCTCGGTTTTGGGTCCTATTCTTTTTCTGCTTTATCTGAATGATCTGATAACCGTTGACATCAAAGGGAAGTTCACATTTTTTGCAGACGATACCACCATCCTTTGGCGTGGGACAAATGAAGATAATCTCAGAGAAAACATAACTTTTGATCTCTATAAAATTAAGCAGTGGTGTGATTCAAACTCCTTATGTTTCAACACAAATAAAACAAACATAGTCTGCTTCAAGTTCAGTTTCGACGACTTACTTATAGAAAATCACGCTATAGTGAACAAAACGCACACAAAGTTTTTAGGGGTATTTATAGATGAAAAATTAAAATTTGATAAGCATGTAGAAAACTTATGCAAAAAAATAGCATCTGGCTGTTATGCAGTTCGAGTTGTTTCAAATGAACTCAATCAATCCTCAGCCAGAATTGTGTACTTTTCCTTGATCGAGTCCCATTTGAGATATGGAATTGCCTTTTGGGGCTTATGTAGTCAGCAACTACTAAATTCAGTATTCGTTTTGCAAAAAAGGGCTGTCAGGTACATTTGTAAGGCAAAATCACAAGATCACTGCAAACCACTTTTCATCAGTCAGAAAATTCTAACTTTACCTTGTATGTTCCTTTTGGAAACCGTGTGTCTAATACACAAAAAGTATTCAAATGCAGCAGTAAATAATGACAGATGATACCATACAAGAGGAAGTCGGGATCTACCCCTGCCAATACCAAAATTAGCAATTACAAAATTTTCTTTGATATATGAGAGCAAGAAAATATATAACCACCTCCCAATGTACTACAGGGAAATAACAAATTTAAAAAAGTTCAGGAAATCAGTTAAAGAGGTATTTCTGCAAAAAGCCTACTATGACTTGAAGGAATATTACACTGATGAATTTTAAAGCTTAGTACTTCCGTTGCTTACTTATCTGGATTGCGTTATTTATTTATTTATCTGTAATGTTTGATATATTTTCTGTAATGTTTTATTTATTTTTATATTTATATTTATATTCGTTTAGGTACACATGTTTTAACTCTATAATGATTTTTCATTATATTTCATATAATTTTATATTTTAATATTTCTGACTTTATAAAATTACACTTACTTTGTCAATAAGAATTACTTCTTGGACAATAAAGCATGATTGATTGATTGATTGATTGAATCAAGAATGATTACAATTTTGGATCATTTTGTATTTTGAAATTCGTTTTACAAAATATGGGATCGTACAGTACAAGTCCTACAACAATACACAATACAATAACTTACCAAATTTCATAAATCTCTCAGTATCTTGATATTCTTGATTTCTCTCCATTTTGAAGAAATTCATCCAAATAATATTCAACAAACAATACAATAATGAACATTTATGGGGATATGGATAATTGAAAACCTTCGAACAAATTGTTCAAGATGCGTGGGTACTTCCCCCAACCAAAAACCAAAAAGGTACAAAAGTAAAAGTACAAACTTAAAAGAAAAGAAAATGGTAGTGTATTGACTGCCGACCAGTCGGCAATCTATACTTTTTTCAGGCTGCCGTGCTGCTGACCGTTCGGCAGACCATTGTCTGCTAAATAGAGAAAAAATCTAGTGAGCTGGAATTTCATCCCAGCTCACTAGATTTTTTCTCAATATTTAGCAGACAATGGGCAGACTATAATATACTCTTTTGTTTGTTTGTTTGTTTGTTTAGGATGCCTTAACAGTTGACTAAAATTATTAATTTTTTCTGTGACAGGAAAAAAGTTTGGCATTTCATCTCTGTTGGCAGGTTATAAAATGTCACTTTTCATAAATTACTTTTTTCCCGTGGGAGAAAAGTGAGTACTTTTTTCCCCGGATATATATCACATATATATACTCTGTTAATGGCTTTTGTTGTGCTATAGTTCCGAAAAATGAGTCAATAATACCGTCTCCGAGAAAGAACTGCAAGTCCTTTTATCTTCCATTCGACTTCGCGGTTTCGTATATTACAAAACAACTATTGAATTCGCAATTTTTTAAAATCAAATCAAAGAATTGAACTGACAGAAGTGACATCAGATATTTGATTACTTCAAAAGAATGATAAAGATGTCTATAAAACGCAGGTGTCCCTACTGTTAAAAACTTGAAATTTCACGTCGATAATTTTCACATTTCGAAATAATGTAATATCTTTTCAATATTGATTCGTCCTTCCTTCTGTCACAGAAAAAAATAGTGCATTATACACGGGAAAAATATTAGATTTTAGCTCACGGTTGGAGCCTAAAACCTGGAGCTAAAATCTACTACTTTTTTCCCTTGTATAATAAATAACTATTCAAGGAAGAAAAAACAAGATTTGAAAAAGAACTTTTGAAAAAATGAGATATACCTACACAAGCACACTAATAGGTGGAACAAAAACCTGATCAAAAAATCTTGTGAACTGTAACAATGGAGGATAGAAAAACTAGATTAAAAACAAATAAAATATAAAAAGAAAGTGATGCATACTAAACCCAAACAGACTATCCGATTAGTGAAACAAAAATATGATAAAAAAAATCATGGAAAAAAAAACTATTCCATGTGGAATTTGAACACAGTACCACAGGATTGATAAGCCAATGTCTAACGGTAATGTATTCCACTGAATGGTCGGCAGCCTAGAGAAAAAGTGTAGTCTGCCGACTCATCGGCATCCCAAAAAAATATAGACTGCCGACCAGACATTAAACTATACTTTTTTTTTGGTTGCCGACCGATTTTATACAGAATGTATTCCACTGAATGGCCAGCAGTCTAGAGAAAAAGTATAGTTTGCCGACTGGTCGGCAGCCTATACACTTTCTAAGAAGAAGGGGTTTTCTGTTTTACGTTTCATCTTCACAAATGCTACAAAGCAAAATGAGAGGTACGGAAAGTGAAGGATGGAAACAGCGACAAGTTTCGTATTATTTTTTCCCTACGTCGGCATCAACGCCTATTGGTTGATTTCGTTACCTATAGAGACAGAAGTGTCCCGCCACAGTCCCGCTTTGAGAACGCAATGCTTCATGTAGTAGATATTTGTACAGAAGGAATATTCTAACCACAACGTAACCCTTGTTGTTTATATTGAGTTCATTGCCCTTCTGTTGCTTCTGTAGCTAATGAGAACTTGGAATATGTTTTGTGATCCCAAGAATTCATTTTTACCTTTTGCATGACCAGACAATTCAATGAACAAGCGTCTACCTATACCATTTTTATCGGTTGCTCTCTGAATTCCGGAGACGTATAATGACGTACACACTGTACGTAGACTTAAACATATGTGTGTTATCGTTATGAAAAAAATTGCAAAAACGAGTAATGCGCATGCGTACCTGTCAATTTCTACGTTTACGTTATCGCTCATGACAGCACTTCAACTCTCTTATTTGTTTACTAGGTAGCAAAGTAGTAGATTGACTGCCGCAGGCGAGCGTAGCGACGCAAGATATTGAGCTAAGGCATTCAGTCAATCTACATTTGCAGCCGTGTGCAATATAATTTTTCCCCTGAATGTTATAAAACCAATTTTGCGTAATTTTTTTATTAAAAACTCCTTTAGTTTTTACCCAATGTCAGTGTCAATTTTGATTAGGTACCAATTTCATTCAAATTCCTTGGAGCGTTGCATGTATAGCAATAAACTTTTCCTGCCTAGGCGGAGAGAAAGGGCATCTTTCCTGCCTGTGAAGTTTCATAGAAATGCCACTTATTTCTACTTTTTTCTACAACCCTTACGAAAACACGACGTAATTTTTTATTAATAAATATATACCTTGAGCAAAAACGTAATTTCAGTCACAAGCGAGAGAAATTCACGTAATGTTAACCTTAGTTAATAGTGACGGAAATTAAATAAGTGTACAAACTTTCTTCCCGTCGCTGAAAAAATATTATCATATGATACGATGTTGTATATAGAAAAAATATGATTTCCCTAGTCGAAAACATTTTATGAAGCTCGTACTGAAAGTACATCTTCAAAGGATTGATTGCACTTCACATATCAACAAAAAAATTTATAGGGTGTAACTTGAAAAAATGATGTTGGGGTGGTTTCTCAGGAGTACTTTGATAGAAGTTGACTTTGACACAATGGCATCAAAATCATTAGGGTTCAACAAATGTATTTAAAAAAAATCCAAGCAGCCTCTGAGATATTGGCATCTGGAACATGCACCCGGTATAGTCTTAAATTTATACTTTACATACAGATTCTACAGGTGTCCATCCTCATATGAAAAAAATACCTATTCGGGTAGTTTCCTTTCGTACCTACCTATATTAAAACAAAACATTGTGGAAACATTTATTGATAAAAAATTTACAACAACCAACAAATATATAAATTTATATAAATACATAATTTGGGGTAATTGATAATTGATATCAACAGATCAGGAAGAACCATATATGTGCTACTGCTGGGGAAGTAATGACCTATAGAATCATAATACTCTTATATCTCCACCTCAGAACAAAAATGTAGCTCTAAATCTGTTCTTCTTGATCAGCGTTCATTATATCGGAAACATCAATAATCTTCTATACATTCATCAAATTACCTATACCATATTATATAACTTTTGCTATAAAAGACTTAAAATAACTTCTAATCACATCAGTTCTTGACTTTTACTCCTGCTTGACCCACTCTATAGGCCCAAATACAGAGTGTTCTCAAAGTTGAGTCATTCGTTTCAATACTCTAGTAGAACTTGTGAAGAGAGGTGAAATTACCAAAAAATCTTTCACATAAAAGTTGCAGAATGAGAGAGTTATAAATAATATTAGATTTTAAGTCCATAAGAATTAGAAATGCATCTTGTTCTAAAAAAAACGTTCGAAAAGTGTCCACATTTCTAGGGTGATAAGGTCCTTGTTCCTTCAGATACCGTGTCACGAAGTTTTATAGCTGAATTTATTTACAAACATCCGTGATTTTGTTGGCATTTCCCGTTATTAAATTGATCATTCTTTTCATGAAGATATATGCCATTTTAATTTCAGAAGTCACCGACAACTCATATCATCAAGCGCTTCCGAAATACATACAACATTTTATCCACGACCGTTTAAGACATTTATCGCCCGCATTCGCGGGCGTAAAGTAGCACTTTAGCGCCCTAGGGCGAACTATTCAATTATTTATCACTAGTCAAATCCAACATTTCACTTCAAACCCGTACAACAAAACAATACCAAATAAATTAAAAGCAAAAAAAAACTTAAAATAAGCTTCTATTTAAACGCTCCATAAAAAGAAGAAAATACAATTTTCCTTTTAAATTTCAACTAACAATTTATAACCTCAATATACACAATTTACATATATGATCATAAAAGTTTGTCGCGATGATCGATATTAAATTGAGTGTAAAATTTTAAAATTCAAATTCAATTAAATATTGATCATCACGACAAGCTTTTATGATCATATAAATTGTGGATAATGAAGTTATGAGTTGGTAGTTAAAATTTGAAAGGCAAATTGTATTTTACGCCATCTTGGATGATCCACCATATTGGATTTAGAATAACGTCACACACCTTATCGTGCATTGTCATCCAAACTTAACGTGTATACAAAATTTCAGTTCAAACGGTTGAAGATATCTAGTTCAAAATTGAGTACAAAGATTCCACCAGAACAAACATACTTACTAAATAGTACATACATTGCAAGTTGAATAAAAGCTTTTAAAAAAATATGTTTTTATCGGGCAGTGAGCAGAACAATAACTGAATTTTGTCGTTTTTTCCATTCAAAAATATTCACATAATGTTTTATTGCTTTAGGTACCTTTTGGGTCACTTTTAAATAAATGGTAAATTGACTTCTCTTTACGAGTCTTACAAGCTGATAAAATAAATGGCTCAAACTTTGAGAACACCGTAAATACAGGATGATACATAGAGAATTGTAAATAGAACAATGGATATAATCCTGACTTCAGGATCACAGGGTGGTGGTTGAAATATTTCAATAAAATTTCAAAAAAGGTATACCTGTTTTGACTTGATAAATTGTTACCGTATATATCATTCTACTAATTTATCCATAACTTTGTTGCAGAATAAATAAATTACTAAGTACCAATCTGTAAATTGTTAACTAACAACATTTTTCTAAGGCCAGATTCGGCCAATCGTCATATCATTTTGATGTCATACATCTACCATTATTATTGCTCTGTATACAATTCATTTTGTATCACCCTGTATACTAATAAATAGCATTATAAAAATATGAAGGAATTAGGCTACCAATAGGCAGAGCTGAGCATTTGTTGTATTAATGAATAATACTTTCCAGTATTCAAA